CTACAGGGGGAGATGGTGCCCTGAGCAGGCGGGCATTGTGCCCAACCACAGCATGGTTTAGCCTAGTCTGTTTCATGACTTGGTTTTCCCCTGCAGGAGTTATAAATCCTGTTTTCCGGATTTGATGTCACAACAATTTGGTGGCAATGAATGTGTCGCAGGGCTTTGGTTTCAGAAACAAAAGGGACCTGGCCAGGCTTGGAGGTTTTGTTTTGATTAAGCGTTTTCCCCCCGCAAAGCACCATCCTGTGTTTTAACCAAACTGAACAAGAGGAACAAATTGGTGATCTGCTCCTGCTGGGGGGGCCAGCTACAGTGAGCACAGCTTGCCCTTTCCCTGTCTCCATCAGGATGATGGAGCTGATCATTGTTTTAACTGTGACCCCAGCCCAGCAGAATGCAGCATGTGTGCACATCAGGCTTGTAAACACAGTGCGTGGACACCAGATGCCTACAGGGGACATGTTGCTGAGTTCCTCTGTAAGCAGCCCTGTCACTCAGCTGGTACAGCCTCCATCCTGCCTCAGAAAATGTGTCTCTCTCCTTAAACTCCAGACGTCCTTCATTAATATAGAGGGCTTTGTTTTATTGTTTGGTACAAATAATGCCTCACTGAAACCAACAGGGTGCTCTTCTTTTGCTAGATCATGCATGAAACAATAGTTTTCATGTGGTGGAGAGCTGGATCAGTTAACAAGAAGCATTGTGTATTTCAGGCTTAATGTACTTGATGAAAAATAAGGCCAAGAGAGAAGTCATATTCATGGGTGTCTTCTGCCCCCTAATTGCTGAAACAATAATCAAAAGCATGTCTTGCAACAGCACAATAGAAGTCAGTGGGATTTAGTTGCCTGTAGAAGGCTGGTAAATCATACTTGTCTATACAGTAAGGAATATTAGAAAATTAGATCATTAACAGATGAGAAGTGAATTGCATGGGGCTTATAATATAAATATTTGATTGATTACTGGCATAAAAATACTGTGCTCAAAAGTAATCTTACGACCATTGTTAGGACCAGAAACTATCAAGCAAAAAGAATCTGCCTGCTATCACTGATCCACCCACAAAAACCTACCAGCCTGCAAAATAATGAAATGTTATCATTTGGTTTTGATACTGTTTGAAGTGTCTACTGATTTTTGGACAATGTTGATCTCTTCAGTGCAGTCGATGGTGTCTATGTTTAACATGTGTGTGTGTAGTAAATCAGAACACCAACCACTTTTATCATCGCTGTCATGTTTAAAACTTTTTAACAGGCTGGGACTTGGGCATAATTAAGGAGTTTAACACCTAGCAGTTTGTTGCCACAAAGCACATCAATTAACCCTTCCAAGCTTGCTGCTTTTCAGAGTACCTATGCATTTCTCCCTCTAAGGATTTTTAAGCCAAAATTTTTCCAGACATATTCTTTTCTGTGCAGAAGCAAGCAAAATGAATCATATACCCAACACCCCAGACCTCTTCTCACCCGCTCCTATGCCAGCTTCAGGGGAATATTGTTACAGAGCTGGTGGGTCTCCCGCAGCACTGTACCTAGACTCCTGGTGGCCCTGGGTGAACTTTTAGTATTGGGCCCCCTTTCACCAGAGATAACGATAATAATAATTTAAAAATTACCATTTTGGGGCCCCCTTTCTGTCTGGGCCCCAGGTGGCTGCCCAGTTTGCCCACGCCTATGTCTGGCCCTGGACTCCTGCCTTCTCCCCTGCAGGATTAATCCCAAGGGATTCTCATTGATGTAGCGTAATGAAAAGGTAGAAGAAAAGGGCAGTGATAACTCATGCTATGTATTGCTTATCTTAATGGCTAACAGTGTTGCTACTCTAGACAGCCACAGCTAGAGCAGACCCCACTAATATGGGATCACGACTGTTGTATGAGACCAGGATCCTTCTTCCCTACAGCTCTGTGCCAGAGTGCATTTGTTGACGTACAGAGAGAGGCAAGAAGGATTGCTTAGGGACACAGTACCACACACACGCTTTGACCTGCATGCAAATCGCCCAGAATCATAGTTGCTGTGACAGTGTACTTTGAAACGACGGCTTAACTATGGGTCCTTGGAAGAGTAGTTTGTACCAGTCTGGCTCAGCTTTTGCACAGGGAAGAAATCTTTTCCAGCCAGACTACAGACTTTGGAAAGGATTTGCATGGAGGATCCAGAACAGAAGAGAAAAAGCCAATTTAAGGAATTCACCACGTGACAGCTACCCTGCCACCCTGTCTATATGTACTGTATTTATATGTATATCTATAAATATATACATTTCATTTATATGCAACATATATACATTCACAATACAAATGCGGGATCATTTAATAATACATATGACATATGCCTCATATATATTTGTGTGTGTGTTATATACCTCCACATATATACCATATGTACATAAGCTTTGTGTGCTGTATTATTTATATATTCATGTGGCTTTCATATTGGCGTCAGTCATCTCTAGACCCACTGATGACTTCCCCACCTACACAAAGAGCGAAATCCCCATATTGAGGGGAGGGACTGCAGCCTGGGGGCAGAGGTTGTCAATGCCAGTGGTTCTCAGGCTTTGGAGACTGGAGGACCTGCTTATTCCTTGCTCTTTTTTGGCCTGCAGAAACAGAATCCAGCGGGTCTCCTGTTGCAAGGAACTCCCAAAGCCCCTACGAATTCCTGTGCGAAATCTCTGGGGGACCACAAGGGCATGCCTATCACTGCTCACATGGGGTGACATCCTTGAAAGGCCCTCAAGGCACCCCGGGGTGCTGCAGCAGGCAGGCTGAGACTCGCTGGTGGGCGGGCAAAAGGCACCACCCCGAGGAAGCCTTGCTCCCGACCGCTTAACTGGACGCTCCGGGGCCCACAGCACCCCTGAGCAGAGAGATCCTCCCCGCTCCCCACGCCCGCCGGAGGCCGAGTGAGGCAGGAGGGACGGCGGGAACCGAGTGCTGAGTGGACTGCGCGAGCGGGCTGGCCCCGGATTGGCGCTCGGGGAGCGGTTCATTTGCATATCGCGGGCTCCATAAACACGGGTCGGCGGGGCAGGCTCCGGGCGCTGCCATGGCTCCCGCGCTGCGCCCGGCGCGGCTGTGCTGCCTGCTGCTGCTGCTGGCGGCGCTGCCGCGCT